CATATCCACACATGCACATATCCACACATGCGCATACACACTTACACATAATATATACGCACAGATACATACACATCCGCACAAACACACACACACACACACACACACACACACACACACTCACACGTACACACATACACACACAAACACACACACACACACACACACACACACTCACTCTCACACACACACACGCACGCATGTTTGTTCTTGTTTGCTCCACATTGTATATTATTTGGTTAGGAGCTCACTGTCTTAGAATAAGTAAGTAACGCTTATTAAATTAAATCTTTTTTACTATGGTGGATGAAATCACCAAATTAGAAAGAAACCCTACCTCTCTTCCCGCATTCCGATCCCACCTAAGTAAAGAAAGCAAAGAATTAAAAGATAAAGTAAGAGAGAATAAGAAACAAGGCAGGTACGATACTTTATCGTTAATATCGCTAAAGTGAAGGTTTAATATGATTGTTTTCGTTTGTTATTATTTTAGAACCAGACAGGTGTTGTTAGTTTTGTCGCACCCAGATGGAATGCAGAGAATACAATTTGTAAAGTCTTGCTCTGATTCCTCCCCCCCCTCCCCCCTCCCCCTCCCAAATATACACTCCTAAACCGAGCAGAGGAAAGGAGGAAAAGGGTGAGGTCTGTATGTCTGTGTGTGTGTTGTAGGAGGTGGGAACTGTTAAATAATAATATGCTTAAAAGTCCGACGAGAAGATGTTGATTCCTACTGGTAGAGATTAATGGGTTAAAAAGCCCTTCCACTCGCTCAGTACTTAAAAAGAAAGAGGCGGAACCCCACGATTCAACGTCGCTCTCCGATTTGATCAATCCACGACGATAGTAAGTCATCAATACTCCCTACACTACACTGACAGGGTTATCTGCTTCAAACTGCGTGATATCAGTTAGCCTACCAGTTGTGCACCCGATGCTGGACAGCCGCAGAGGGTAAATGGACCAGGAAGCAGGAAGCTATTGAGTGAGGACTGTTTCTTCGGGGGGTGGGGTTGGAGGGGGAGGGGGGCTCAGGATAATGATACACTTTGTTACCTCACGAACCAGGATATTGAACATGACTCGACTATTTAAAAGCACTCTATCTTTGGTTCCTGTTTGTGACGACGACGACGACGACGACGAAGAAGAAGAAGAAGAAGAAGAAGAAGAAGAAGAAGAAGAAGAAGAAGAAGA